GAAGGAAAGGAAGGAAAGGAAGGAAAGGAAGGAAAGGAAGGAAAGGAAGGAAAGGAAGGAAAGGAAGGAAAGGAAGGAAAGGAAGGAAAGGAAGGGCCTAGAGAAGAGGAATCAAACAAAGCATTCCTCTGGCATCGGCCGTAAGTGAAACAGTTGTTGCTTGTTGCTGCTTGGTAACTCAAGCTTGCTCATTACAAGCAGGACACTTTTTTGGCTCTATTTGTATCCGTATTTTTTTTAGATACCTTGGTCATATTGTCCAGGCAGGCACAATTGCCAAGGACACCTGCCAGAATTGCAGGTCTGCAGGCAGACACCCAGGACTGGGGCAGATCTTTGTAAAGTTTCTTTATACAGAAGCACAAACAGCTGGATCAGCATTCTTAAAAATACTCTGCAAGCTCAGCCATTGCCTTTTACAACTTCTATGGGACACTTCACCTTGTCTGACGGCCTATAACATGGATGTGCTTTTTCAGCCTGTCATGGTGATATGATCTTTTCCCATCTCAACCTGGCCTTTCACATGTAGCCCAGCCCTATCCAGCTGTTAAGCATCAGTGATATTATCTGACCCTGGTAGTTGGCTCCCTGATTTCTTCCCAATTCAGGCATTAACCAGCAATAAGTCCTGATGGCTGTATCTTGATGGGGAGATAAGGCTGATGGTGCATACACCAGACAAAAGCCCTCTGAAATGAAAGAATGACTATGAGTCAATCATCTTATGCCATAAATACATAGACAGCCCAAGAGCCCCTTGACCTCTCCTTACATGGCAATGGGCTGCATGTCACGATCTCCCCTTGAGCAGGGACACCTCTCAAGGATACTCCTCAAGGTTAAGAGATCCCTTTCCACAGCAGATTTGTGGTAAGTGAATATAGCGTGCTTTCTTTCTGAGCTTGTAAACTTTACTTTGTAGCTGTGCACAAAATCCCTTAGTCATAAACCGTTGACCAGGTCTGGGGCTAGGATTGGATCCAGCTGCACCCAGACTCCTCTCAGAAAGAGCTTGGAAAGCAAGGGGGTCCAATCTGAACCTTGTGACCCAACGAGAGCGTGTCCTTGATAACTGTATATTATCATAAACCTCCATGCWGTGAATAATTAGTGATCTTGCCATAGAATCTCATGAAATTATTGTCCATATCAATAAACCCTATTATTATTTCTTTTGTACAAGTGAAGTGCATTTTGTCACTSACCACACCCCCCCACCACCACTTGTTCCGTTACACATGGCAGTTCCCTCCCAAGTCAAAAGATAAAGACCATCACTCCCAGGTGGCAGTTGACACCCTCCATCCTAAAAGAGGAGATGACACTCTTTTCATTAACTGAATGCTCTTCAAAAGATACCAGGTCCTAGGCTGGTGCAGGATACAGCTAAGCACGACTCCTTATGTGCTTGGCTATCTTACTTACCGTTATGGCGTGGTTTGCTGTCGGGTAGGTGCTGCTCTTAGGGGAAGCTTCAGTAGGACCTGCATCAGGGATGTTTGGTTCTGAAATGAGCGACCCCTTTAAAAACAAAGGAGCATAAGTGCTTTTTTTGCTTATTCTGAACACTGTTTAAAACAAACTAACAAACAAAAAAAAAAAAAAAAAAAAAACCAGAGAGAGAGAGAGATTCCCTTCCTCTTAGGTGAGCTGAATGAATGTCTAGCCCTATTCCTGTATAAGATTGCATGAGGATGGCAGCAAACAGAACAGCTGTTTCTCTTGCCATTCCTCATTTTTGCCGAATACAGTGTGTATTTAAACTGTTGAAATAGTCTGTTCTGGAATAAGAACTCATAATACTTAATATCTAGGGAAAACACTGGTTATTTGCACACAGATCACTCCCATGGTCAAAGCAGCACCAAAGCTCCCAGAGCCCGCCTGAGTGCTCTAACTCCTTCTCAGCTCCCAGCCATACCCCCAGCACACGCGTTTTCCACATTCTTTAAGTAGATGACTGATTCTGCCATCTTGTGGGAGCAAGAGAAAATCGATCTATACTCTGGCAACAACAGCATGACTGAACAGTACTGAAATTTCTTCTTATTTATCTCACATATTTGTTAAATTAACAGATCTCCGCAGATAATGTTTCAAATAGCTCTAGAAACAGGAATAAATTGCAGTTTCATGAAGGCATGGGAGAAACAATTTGATTTCTAACATACTGACTTTAACAGAATCTCTGTTCAAAAACTAGAAATTCTGACTTTTTTAAATTTAATTATAATGATAATCTGGTGATATGAAATATTTTATGTCTCCCTTAAATTCGTTAAAGAAAAAAAGGGTATATATAGGCCTTTATTAAAAGGAAAAAAAGTAAAATCCTACATAACTTAATGAGTAATACTCTTTTTTTTTTAAATTAACTTGCATAAGGGTATTTTGAATCCTGATAGTTTTTTTTTTTTTAATCAAGTCTATACTAGAGTTTAAAAAATAAGTGATTCACTTACAATGAATTTAGCTTTGTAAACTATATACAACAAGAAGTATGCCAGAGTAAATGCTATTAATTCTAGCATAGTGACAGTTTAAGAGAACAAGAGCTGGAAAAAAAAATCTTTGAAAAAGAAATCCCCAAATAAATGTAGAGGCTCTTCTCGCACAGGAGCAGGACTGAGGGTAAAAAGGGAGAGTAGGCCTGAAGGTAAACACGGGAAGTAAGACTGAGGTTAAACAGAGGGAGATCCACTGAGGATAAACAGGGAGAGTAAGACTGAGAGTAAACGGGCAGAGGACCAGTGAGGGTAAAGAGGGGGAGTARGACTGAGGGTAAAGAGGGCGAGTATTACTGTGGGTAAACAGGGGAAGTACTACTGAGGGTAACGAGTGGGGGTAGGACTGAGGATAAACAGTAGGAAAAGGCCTAGGGGTAAACAGAGGAGGTAGGAATGAGGGTAAAGAGGATGAGTAGGACTGACAGCAAAGATGGGGGAGTACCACTGAGGGGAAACAGAGGGAGTAGGATTGAGGGTAAACAGGGGAAGTACCACTGAGGGTAAACAAGGGGAGTAGGCTGAGGCTAAAGAGGGGGAGTAGGACTGAGAGTAAAAAGAGGGAGTACCACTGAAGGTAACTGGATAGAGTAGGATTGAGGCTAACAGGGGGGAGAACACTGAGGGTAAACAGGGGAAGTAGGACTGAAGAGTAAAGGAGCAAAGAACCACTGAGGGTAAACAGCAGGAGTAACAATGTTAGTAAACAGGAGGAGTACCACTGAGGGTAAACAGGAGGAGTACCACTAGAGTGAACAGGTGGTGTAGGACTGAGGGTAAAAAGGGCGAGTACCACTGAGGGGAAACAGGATGTAGGACTGAGAGTAAACAGGGGGAGTACAACTGAGGGTAAACAGCAGGAATAGTCCTGAGGTTAAACGGAGGGAGTACCACAGAGGCTAAACAAGACTTTCGCTGAGAGTTACAGCGGGAGTAGGACTGCGTGTAAATAAGTCAAGTAGGCCTGTGGGTATATGGAGGTTAAAAAGGCAGCTTAGGTGTGATAAAATTATCAGAATCTCATAGATTATTGAATGTCTTAGTGCTTTCAGAGATATGGCCTTTATTTGCTTTACATTTCTACAAAACATTTTCAATATTTTTGTGAAATATTATTGGAAGGAATTAGAATTATTGTGAGTTATGCAATTAGAAGGAAAACATGGTCCTTCTTTAGGACATCTGCAGTATTTGAGAGCTGTTACTGTCCCTACTTCATAGCAAGCTCATTTCTGTCACTAGCATCCAGATGTCTGTCCTCAGGATCTGTCTAAACATGGTTTTCCCTAGGAGCTGGACCTCACCCTGATCCTCCCTGTTTATACCCTCTTGTTGTACCCACTGCTTTTCAGTTTATTTTTGTCAGTTCAACTCTCTCATTCCATCGGTTTACGGATTCCATCAGTTTATCTCTGAAAGGAAATAAAGCATGTAAGGCCCCTGCAAAGCACTGCTCTTCTGATTCTTCTTGTTTTAATTATGTTGAAAGTGTTTTAGGTATTTGCAGCATTTGTCTTATGCAGTATTTTGATATGTAGGAGGCACAGAAAGTCAAACTTTAGGTGACCTTGCCATGTATTTCCCCAAATATCTGTATATACTGAGCGGGAGTAGAGTGAGGGTAAAGAGTGATTTGGAGATCTTCAAAATCCACCTCAATATGACCCTGTGCCACATGCTCTACGTGTCCCTATTTGAGCAACGGGATTGGACTGATGATCTCTAGAGGTTCCTTCCAACCTCACCCATTCTGTGATTTTGTGATCAGACTCAGCAGGAGGGATCGTGCTAGAAGACATTAGGCCTGAAGTGGAATAGCACAAAAGACACATTTGCTGCTAGGCACGGTAAKCCTCCATCCAAGTGGATTCATGTTGAGCTGTTCCTTCCCAACCCAAAATTATCTTAGAGAAACAAGTTGATGGAATCTATATTTCTAACAGCTGCAATGAGTTTGTCTAGTAAATTTAAGGCAATGTCATAAGCCACCTTCCTCAACCAAATACAAATGAGTTATTGGTTGCAGAACTGCTTGCTAAGACCATTATTTTCATTTATAAACCAGCCATTAAAGGGTAGGCTATTTTGAAAAGTACTTTAAACAGAGATCTAAAAACCAGAATATAATAAAAGGAATAATAAAGATTTAATGTTGCTGTATTTTTATTTTCATATTTTTTATACACACACACACACACACGGAATGTATGTGGTTTGGCAAGTATCCAAATAGCTTAGCTTAAATATAGATCCCAGACTCTCCAGATCTCAAATTTGGTGAAAGATTTTAACAAGAAAACATGCTTTGTCTTAACAGATAAAGCACCTACCTCCACAACTCTGTCTCCTGCCTGTACTCCAGCCAAGTCTGCTGGGCCATCCCTCGGTAGCCGTGCAATCAAGATCCCCTGGAAACATAAAACACAAGCTGCAGACCTAACGCAGTTTCTTCCATTGTCCTCAGATGCAAAAAGCAAATGGGAAGTAATTAAGTTTCAAAACTTGCTGTTTTGCTGCCTCTATTAAAATAAAAATTAAGTGTCTTAGCACATTAGCAGGAGAAAGGGCCCTTTGGCTGACAGACACATACAACAATGAGCATAAGCCATTAATTGTTTACATTGTGCCATGAGGAACAGACTGGAAAATAAGGTTTATTTAAGGGATAATTAAGGGAGAAGATGTGAGAAATGCCTCTCTCAAGTCCAGTTAGCTCCTGGGAATGAGCAAATGGGGCAGGAGAGGCRTGAGGATTGCGAGGATTGAAAATGGAGTGACCTTGAATACAGGTGGAAAATGAAAGCTAGCTAGTGGTGCTTCAGCCACASAGCTGTCATTGGGAAATCATCTGGTTTTCTTTTCAAAATCATTCTTCTAGGARCTTCTCCATTAAAATCTACTGCCAATATCTATTTTGGGAAATAAGGAACCTATTTTTCTTCCTTGTCAACTCTATTAGCAATATAGCAACATTACATTGAAGACAATCTCAAAAAGAAAACAACAAAACATAATAACCTCAAAGAACTGCTCATCAGTCTCTTTCTAATGATTRCTAGGTAAGTTTTGAGTAATGAAATGCACCTCATCATTGTCTTTATATGGAGATGAGCCCTTTCCACCAGCAATGCTAATACCAAGACTCCCCATTTGACTGCACACAGTAATGGTTATCTGGAAGAGAATTATAATAAATGGGCTGATTAATCAAAAACATTACCTATGAAGTACATGAGTAATGAAAGTCTATCTCCCGTTCTGAACACCAGCACATTTCCCCCTATACAGCTCGCACAGAGAAAAATGGTGCTGTTCTTAAATACTATTGCATGCAAGACTCATCTTTACTCTTCACTAACATCAAGAACACATTATTTCTAAACTGCAGGTTTCATAGTTATGCCAAAGTTTTAATAGGTTCTTTATCATGTGCACTTGATTTTGCCCAACTTCCTCTTCCTGAGTTTTGCCTCTGACCAGCTCCATTGTTTTCAAAGGAAACAAACTGGGAGCCAGCTACTACCAACGGGTGTATTCAAGCCGTAAGGCAGTGGCAAAACTCCAGCTGGACCCAGCGATGTCACCACTCCAGCCAGTGCCACAGAACTGCCTGGCTGCACACTGGCAGCACCAAGTGCATATGCTAGAAAAATAAGTGAACAAGTCAGATATTTCATAAAACTCGTTATTAACTGAGCATTTGTCAGGGCAGCACCAGTATACATCAAGAGTGAAAAGTAAGGATAAGCTAAGGAAGTACATTTGTTTTCAGACTTCTGGAAGTACTTTTTTAAGACTAGATAGCTGAATTTGAGCTGCATAGTAGCTTTTTAAAAAATACTTTTTACACTTTTTTATTTCTGTCTCTGTGTATGCACTGCTCTGTCAAACATTTGACAGTACTCCAACCATTGACTTAAGAGTAGAAATGCCAGGAAGTCGCTTTTTAAACAAAGAAATAGAAATTGGAAGCCATCTAATTTGTTTTCTTTCTACTTGTATTGCCAAATTTTAGTTCTTCTGCTCMGCATCTTGGATGATCCTTTGAATTTACATACAGCATAAGCAAACTAAAAGTTCTAAAGAAAAGTTTACATTTAAGAATTGATTTTCTTTTATATATTCTTACTCTTTCTTACATTATTTATTCTTATGTTCTTATATTCTTTTTATATTCTTGTTATTAAATTGAACTAATTTGAAAATACATAAAATAATAATCACACAGAATTTAAGAAAAATGTTGTGGTGCAACATTTGCATTTGAATGCAAAGCAGATTTCACCTGGTCACATAAGGAAAACACTCTTACTTTATTTATTTGGTTCACAGCTCTAAGATAATTCATATTGGAATAACTTTGCTATTTTCCATTAAGAATGTTTCAGTATAGCTGATGTTTTACAACCTGACAAATACATGCAGTTAATCTTAGCACATTCATCTGAAATTCCTAATTTCTATATAGGCATGAAAATACCAGATTACCCAAACTACTGGAAAATTTTGCTTAGATTTAACATTTCCCCACATGCCACAGAATTCACAAGCCTGTTCTTGCAAGCAGTGCTTTAGTGACAGGGTCCCAGCATGAGTGCCACACCAGGTGAGTCATCCCATCTCCTGCAGTACCCCAAGCGAGCTGCAACACTTGGCATTTCTGCTCTTCTCTCTCTAAGCATGGCTAACGATTGAGCCTGTCCAAACACCCCCTGCCTGCCCCACTGCTGGCCACTTACACAGAGATGTGAACTGGGATTTGCTACTGGTGTGGAGCCGGGCTCCAGGGAGCCCCTCCATAAGGCACATTTCACCATCTGCTGCTAAGTGTACTGGGATGTGATTAATCCGTTGAATTCAGGGAGCAGCTTCCTCTACAAATCTCATGGCAAATCTAGCAGTTCTCACTAATAAATTTTCATCTGAACATTCATTTTCATTGGGCTTTTTTTTTGAGCTGTAGGACTAAAGGCCATATTCCTAAATCACAACTTAAACATTTATATGCAGAGACTCAGCTGAGTGCCCACCTACATAGATTTTTGGCAAATTTTATGACATTTCAAAGCTGGGTACAGTAAATGATAGAAAACTGAAAGAAAACAGCTACCAAGAGGTGCCTTTTTTTTTTCCTTCAAGGAATAAGTTCTATTTCCATAGAAGCCAGTGGGGCAGGGTCAAACCTTACGTTCTGTGAACATTAAATCCCATAACAGCTATTGTGTGATGGTCTCCTTTATATCTTTTACAAATTGCCCTGCACAAAAGACAGAATTTCTCATAAGCATGCAGATCTCGTGTGCGTGGTGGCTCGTTACCTTCAGCGGGGGCTGCGCCACATCTGCAGCTCTCGTGTCCTCGGGAAACCTATCGGTCTCTGCCGCCGCGGAGACAGGTGGCTGCATCCTACTGTTCATCCTTGGGAAAGTTTTCCCTTTCATCGCTGCTTTGTGCTTTTCTTGAAGGGCTGCTCTAATATTTCTTTGATCCCTTATGTTCTCATCAGTATCAAAAAGACTGCCAGAAAACTTGGAAATAGGCTCCTAGGGGTTAAAGATAGGAAAGGTAAACAAGGCAACGTAAAATTTTGTGCCCTAAATTGGATTTGTTTCTAACAAATGCTGCATGTTAGAATTTATTTCACTGAAGACACTGGACCAATCTGCAATGTGAAAACATATGTACAAAAATGTATCTTTTTAATAGTTATTCCTCTGGAGTATGGAATGGTTATTCCATGGAGTATCACAGTGGTGGTGACTCGTGGGAACGAGTCCTGAGATGTGGTATAGCCTTCTTCTATGTCCCCTGATACACACAAGCACTTCTAACACTCATCCCCAYCTTTCTTCATGGAATACCATGATATCCTGTGACTTTGCACAGAGTGTGGAAATGAGTCTGTTTTGGACAAAGTGGCAGTGAGGGGACACTTGCAAATTTGGTAACAATCTCATGGTTTTGAGGTTCACTGGAACTGGAGACTCAGRGGTGGCATGTCCTTAATAGCAGTCTGAAGCCCAGCCTGGGATTCACAAGAATCCATGTGGCTATTCAGTAGATCTGCAGTTCTGGGCTCCCCAGTACAAGAGGGATGTGAAACTTCTAGAGAGGATCCAGTGTAGAGCAACAAAGATAATTAAGGGACTCAGRTATCTATCTTATGAGRAAAGACTAAGTGAGCTGGGCCTGTTTAGCCTAGAGGGCAGAGAACTGAAAGGAGATCTGATCAAAATGTGTAAGTTTCTGAGGGGAGAATGTCGGGAGGATGAGGCCAAACTCTTCTCACTGGTGGCCAGTGATAAGACAAGGGGTAAGGAGTACAAGTCAAAACACAGGAAGTTCCATCTCCAGATGAGGAAGAACTTGACTGTGAGGGTGAYGCAAAACAGACTGCCCAGGGAGGCTGTAGAGTCTSCTTCTCTGGAGGTCTTGCAGACTCGCATGGGTGCCACCCTGTGCCACGTGCTCTAGGTGTCCCTGCTCCAGCGAGGGATTGAACTAGATGATCCCTAGAGGTCCCTTCCAACCTCAATCATTCTGTGATATAGGGGGTACAGAGAGTGACAGTGTCACCATATTCTTAGATAACTCAAAGGGCTTGGAAAGAGAAATACGGAATTAAAACAYATCCACCAAATAATCTGATCTTCASAAGGGTTTAACTGCAAAACAAAGTGACATTTTCCAGTTTCCATTTTTGCTTGGCAGGGAGCTCAGCTGTCATCCCCTAACTGTAATATTATTTTATGGAGCTGCTTTTTTTTTTTTTTTTTCTTTAATTTGGTAGGAAAGGTTGAGTCAAAGTAAATCTTCTAATCTTTTATCTTCTCTGGCAGTAAAATGATGCACCAAACAAAGGTCAATGTCTTTGAATATAAACCCTATAAATGTCTTCCCAAAGCCTGGAAGTCTAATACTAATGACAAAAGCAATGGCTGTTATTATGAACAGCTGTCCAGAAATCCCATGGGACACTTTATTTTTAAGCTTAAATTGGAGCTTCTTCACAATCTCTCTCTGGTGGAGATGGAAAGAAGCATCACCAGCACCAGGGAGAGCAAACGAGGCATGATTGCCTCCTATTCTCATTTAAAATTACAGGGGAATTTAACTAGCAACAAATTATAACCCAGTCCCAGCCAATTAATCTCCCTGGCTGAGAAGCAATGAGCAAGAATAACTGCCTTAGTGCACAGGTCATAAAAACCAAACTTGTCCCGGGGAGCGCAGCAAAGAGCAGCCTTGCCCTGAACAGAACCGTACTGCAAATTCTATAAACACAGCGGAACAGATAGCAAGGGCACATATGGATTTGAAAAGTGAGCAACTCCCCAGATTCTCATATCCTCAGAATGGCCGAGCAGAGGCCTAGGCATGTGATGGGGACTCTTGCATTCACGTTAGGCACAAGTGCTGTTGCAGGTCAGGGATATTCTGCAAAGCCCAAAACTGGTGTTACAGTCACAGTTTGCGCAGTTCACAGCTTTGGGAGCCGGCTGTGCCAGCTACGCAGTGGGATTTGTGTCACCCCGTCAACAGGGACGTTCATTGTCCCTTGCTCTCCAGGAGGCCGTTCTCCATAATGGCTCCTCCTCCCCAGCTTGACTCGTCCTTGTGGATTAGCAGCAGGGCACAGGGCCTGGCTGGAGCAGGTCCCTCGAGGAGGCCACAGTCCTTGCAGTCAGCGGTGGGCAGGTGCCGATCTCTGGGCCTGCTGACTAACTACTTACCTGAACATGCAGGAGAGATGTTGCTTGTTGGAGGTAGAAGGAGAGGTAAAAATAAAAATAATGATTAAACCATCTCCTCTCTCCTGGCTGCAAAGGAAACTACCTACGTCCTCATCGGGATCCTCGAGCTCTTCTGCCTCTTGCTCAGGGCTGATCCTTCCTTCCCTCCACTTTCCRTTAGCGGAGCTGAGCTTGCAGAGGTGGCCACCATGGAAACCTTCCTTCCCTTTTAACGAGGCCCAGCGAGAGCCCTGTGAGCCCCATGTGTGGCCACCGTACAGTCTGGGAGACTTGGGAAGCCACTTAACAGAGTCCTGAGAAGAAGATGACAAAAAAAAAGAAAAAATAATAATAATAATAATAATAGGCAATGATCTTAAGCAATTGCAAGAAGTACGTGCATGCTGAATTTGCCTGGCAAGTTCTGCAAGGTCTTTTATGACCTCAAAACTACAGGGATTCCCCATTTGACCTTGGGAGGTACCTTTATTCCCAGAGAGGCACTTTGCTAGCTAATGGGCTGATGATACAAAGCATGAGCTAAGACTTCTGAAATTAATGGGAATCTTGAGCAAGATTCGCACACGGAAGCGACGTCGCCTCGGAGGAAGGAGCCTGGCCAGCTACCGTCTTCATCAATGATCTACTCAGTACTATTAAGAAAATAACCACGAGCGCTTACGCTTGGTGACTGTTTCATCTCACATCTTGAATTAAATAACCTAACAGTAGTTACCTCTGCATTTTCATTATTCTTTWAAAAAAAATATGAATGATACCGATATAAGCTATAATACTAAATTGATCTTTTAAGGGTTTGCTGATTTTCAAAGCAGGAAAAAAAAAAAAGGTAAGATTGGAGAAAAGAGTAACTTATTGCATATCTTCTTTCTGTGTGCAATCATAGTCTAATTTTCTCAAAGCATCTSTTATTTATATCTGAAAAAAAAATCCCTACCTCTTCCCCTTCACACACAGAAGTTATGCATTTCTGAGAGACTTTCAGGTTAACAAAAGATATTTTAAAAAAATCACAAGTAAAGAAGAGTGGTGCATGGGCTGTGTTAACCTCTTGTTTCTTTGAATGAAAGGATGAAAGACTTTGACTGAAAGTCTTTATAGTGTTATTACTGATTTAATGCTACAAAGGGCTAAAGCCTGTGAAGCCTGTGAACACAAGACTACTATCAAGAGTTGTTGAAAGGCTTCAGAACAGGGGCCCCCACTCCTACTGCCTTCTTTGCCAAAAACTGTAACAATTCATAATCAGAATTTCATTATGAGAACTAAAATCTAGATTAACCTAAAAGTAAAAACAAACAAACAAGCAAAGGACTATTTTCAGAAGTAGCATACAACTTCTGGATAAACAACCCAAGGACACTCAAAGGCTGCCAATATCAAGAGCATAGGGACTGAGCATTTTCTGAATATCATTCCAGATGCTCATCTTGAGGCAGCATATTTCTCAGAATAGAAGGTACAGGAAAAATACCTCTAAACCTTTTCAAGAAATGTCCAACATCCCATACTTCCAAACCCCTAAGTGTACTACAGAATTAAGCTGATACGTTCAACACACATGGTTGAAAGCAAAATGTCTTAGGAAGCAAAATCACCTACCTTTCAAATTCAAATAATCTTGCTCAAATATACCCATTAACAGGCAAGATGACCCACAGTCCTTTCACACATACTACAGATATTTTCTACTTATCATTCCACTGTTCCTCTTTAGTTTTCTGCACACATCAAATTTTACCATTCTGCAAGATTTGCTTTAGACACAGAAAGAAGGAATCTTTCAGATTTTCAGAGACCTGAGTCACGATTGTGAGTATACCTTAGCTACAACGAACCTCAGGAGTCATTTTGCACAGTAATCTTTCTTTCAAGCTTTCATTTAAATTTCTTTTAGAATTTCTTAAGGTGATATAAAACCAAAAGCACCAAACAGTCTTATACCAATAGGTATGTTAAGGCACGTGATCCAGCAAGGCCAAGAGAATGCAGAAATAATTTTTTTTWAAAAAAGATATTATCATCAAACTTACAGTGGACCCATCAGCAGCTCATTCACATTGTTTAAACATACATTTCATTTTGATTTAGTAATTCTTTAAACCTCTATTTTCCCTTTTAATGCAAATGGTTAAGTTCACATRAACACATCAAGGTCCTGCTAATGTTAACACCAAAGATAAGAGCACCCTCTTAAATCTAAAGGTGAGAAAAAGAGGAAGATCAGACAAGCTTGCCTATGTTGTCAATCTCTTGTTCTTGAAGCTGCTCCCCTTGGGATTCTTCACTTGCTTTGTTTATTTATGTATAGCTGAACAGACTGGAAATGTGCAAGGACCATATTTCAGTGTCTTGTAGAAAAAGCTTATAGACTTTTCTGCAAGTTTTAAGAAGGTCATATCCCACAGTATAATTGGTATGTAGAATATTTGCGTTGCCTCTGTAAGAAATCAGCTGTTAAATCACATTTTGAACTATACTGACAGTCACCAGTTCCACCATTTGCTGTTAAATAGCCAGGATTTCTGGTAACTCTGAACCACACATCTCAGTGCACTCACACCGGTTGGAGATTTAGTTCATCAACAAACTGAATGCAAAAGCAGCACAAACATTCAACGTCGCATTAGTGGCTCCCATTTCCGAGGGCTCACTAAGCAGAATGCGGGATAGGGTCTAGTACTTCCCATGCTACTTCCCTCCAGTGAGGATATATAGGGCACTCTCAGAAACTTTGCTTCCTATTCAGGGTTAACTAAGAGGATAAAAATTCTAATCAATACTTGAAATAACATGCCATCTAAAACTGTGTTTTATTGTTTTAATTGGTTTTATTTTGCGTAGCTGATGCGCTGGGTGGTCTCCCAGCATTCCAGCCTTTTCCCTATATGTTTCAAATCCTTCTCAACCTRTTTAAGCTCATGAGAAAGTCACTCTAAAATTATCCATAGATACAGTGGGGTGTTTAGCTTTACCAAGGGACTGCCTCATCCCATTTGACCCTGAGCTTCAACTCTAAGCAACAGCCTCCCAAATACAGCTCAATCAATTCTTGTCCCCTCAGACCACCGTGAGGCTATAAGGCAAGACAGAAACAGTATGACAGTTCTGAATAAGAACCAAATAACAATTGTCACCTTCTCCTTAGGTCTACACTATATGTAACCAAATAGTTCAACTGCTTTTTTAAGAGCCTCCCTATATATGGGAGCCAGGGTGTCAGGGCACCAGGGCCCTCCAATCCTTTCAGAGAAGCAATATGCAAAGATCGTGCTATAACACAGGTAGAAGGTACAGGTTTCTTGTTTGTTTTGCTAGCATATAAAGGAAACATCCATCCTGCTTATTCAATTTATATATATGTAAAAACTCATTACTCTGACTTACTGCTGAAACTATTAACTTCTGCATCATTTGACCGTGGCTGTTGATGGTGTTAAACCCCTGAGATGATCCCTTATGGTAGAAATTACCATAGTTCAGATAAGAAGTAGATTTGTACTCTTTATAAAGCCATCCTAAAAAGCCTCCAGTAATTTGTTAACTCAGTCTCATTAGGTTCAATATGCTAGGACCATACTCTCAAAGACAAAAATGTTGACTWGATATATTCAGAGAGATAAATCTGTTCTCCTTACAAAATTTTACAGACAATATGATTGTCGTCTTACTACTAACTACTACTTACTTCTGACTACTGTGAGGTAGGTAGAAATGTGGGTTTTTGTATTCTATACACAGGGAAGCTGAAATGTAAAAAGAAAAAAAAAACAAATGGTCCATGTTTGAAGTTATTAGTAGCAAATATGAGGTGTCTAAAGACTCTTTAAAATATCTGGCATAAAGAGAGAATGGGGAATTCAGTACTTTTTAAAAGYGGACATTTGCACTTGTGATTCCAGTGTTTTGTGAATGTAGAGGTTGTCTTTGAGAAAAAATTATTTATAGGCCTCAGCATTTGTTAAGTTGCATGGAAATACACTTTTCATTTCCATTACCAGTGACCCGTCTAACTGGTAACAGATTGTTTTCCTTTGATACTTCACCAGCAAGTCAGGTCGGCTCCCTTTTTACCTCCTTCCAATCTGCTTTTCATGTTTTCAAAGGCACTCTCTTCAGAGCAGAAATACTCTTCTGTATCATAGCCCTGTATGTTAAGAGGACAAATTGTTCTCATAAAGTACAAGGTGTCTATTCTGATAAGATCTCACTAATAAATCCTCTACAGAATGAATTTCCTTCAGGCAACAAAGGTTTGCAAATGCCGTATATCTCCCTAAATCATTCTGGCAAATGAAGAAGAAACCAAAAAGCCCAAGCAACAAAAGCCAAGAATGAAAACTACCCCTGTTTCTTGAGTACCTTACTGAAACCATACTGCGATGACACAACAATGTGCGTGGAGCAATCCCTCGTAGCCATCGGCACATCCAAGCCAAGGTAAAACTGGTGAATTTCCATTTACTTCGGATATTTTGTTTGTACTATTCCTGCTGTAGTATTACCCAGCTCAAACTCACAAATACATGTCAATTTGTCTATTAAAAAGGTGTTTAAATAGCTGAAGTAATGAGTAAATAAGGGAACTACAAAACGTCTTTAAAAAGGTATTTCCTAGGATAGAAACACTGCCTTTTATGAACAGCCATTCAGAACAGGGTGTTCTATCAGCTGCAAATCGTTTCAGACTCATTCCCTTCTAAAAGAACAAAGAGCTTTCTTTAAAAGAGCTTTGCATGATTCACATGAAACAGGAATGAAAGCTAAACAAAACACTGCAAAAACAAAGGCATACTTGAAGACACCTTCACTCCAGAAGCAGCAGCATAAAAGCTGCCTGAACAGACTATTGAACCAAGTTTCCCACAGGGAAGGTTTGGTAGGAGTAAATACAGGACTGAATTTTGAAATTTGATGTTCAACTATTAATTAGCCAGAATCCATTTTTTAAATTTTCCAAGTACACCATTTAGAAAAATATCTGGAAGGTTGTGTTAAAATCATCCACTGTGCGAATGCTCTTCAGATTTGCTGTTTTCTCACCTTTTGATTGGAAAAAGGCCACCAGCAGTATTCAAATAACTGGTCTTTTCTTAGTTCCTTTAGATTTTATTTTGAAGGTGCTTGCTGGAAGCACATGATGTCATCAACAAGCTATACAGAGGGATAAATTCACTGATTTCCATAGGCAAGTAGTACATTGGTTAATCTTCCAGAAATACAGGACAATCATATCTGCTATAAACTATTTTGAAACAGTTCAACGGAACCCATTTATTCTGTRTTTAGGTAA